TGAATAAGTAAGAAATGGGAGTCACTCTCTGTACTTTGCTGCAATATCCTGACCCCTTGTGGTGTTATTCCTTCTTGGGAGAAGACTGCTGGTGACGGTGCAGTTGGCAAGAGCGAAGAAGCTAAATGGAGCTTCATTTCTCCATTTCAGGATGAAGTGCCTATGAGATATGCAGGAGGAGATGTGAAACAGTGTCACGTAAGCATGGCATCATTTCTTGGCCTCCTTTATTCCCTACCCTCAAGCCCTGATATTGCGACCATGCAGCATTCCCTTCCCTGTAACTTGTTTTTCTCACCTAGTACTAGGTGAAACCCAACTATATCAGCCCATATATATGTAATTCACATTTGTAAACAGTTACACAAATACACCACGGAATGGCTGTGCCAGTCTCTTCCCAATTGATGCATACCTCTTTTATGTCTAGTTTGCTGGATATGAATTTTTCTGTGATAACCACGCTTGTAGGCACAGCCAAATGTCCTGCGACACTTCTTTCTATAGGAACAATTCTCACTCCATCCCTGCCCCCACATATCTGCCTCCCTTAACTGTGTCTTATAAAGATCCAAAGGGCCATTTTCTAAATTGATTGTATTTATTCAAGACAATTTAGCAACCAGTGGTATTACTTGTCAAGCAACGTGGACACGACCTAACACTTTGCGGTACTCCCTCAATGAAAGCTGACGGCTGAGGTTTCTTTGGTTCATGCCCCAGGACTATTTTTATTTGAAGGAATTTGAGGGGAGGCAGAGGAGGTCAGTGCAAATTGATAGAGACTATTTTCCTACTCCAAAATATAATTGTGTTTTCATTGTCTATTCCCCTATGCATCCTCCCTGAAGATGTGACAATGATAAATTGATGGGACAGGGTTTCTTTAGTTGGACCCTGGTTTTTGGTGTTTTGATCCATTCTTGCAAAGAGTGTTATTCAGCTCTTCTCCCTATTGGTGCCCCATCCCCTGCCTTTTTCCATTCTGTCTACAATTTTTCCCCGCTCCCTGAATCACATCCCTACTTCTTTGGATTTCTTCCTCCTTGTAGGAAAAAGGAAGGGGGCTGCATGAAACAGCACAGAAGATCACGATTGAGGGTCTCTGTACCTGAACCTCTCTCCTTTTAAAGCTCCACTGAGAAAAAATGAGAAAGACAGGTTCAAGCCCTAGCATACACAGTCAGGTCATTGTTGACTCATTTTATACCAACTCCCAGGGATGTGCATCTCAGAGCACCGAGAGCAGATCCTGAATGAGAACACTGATGTGAACATGCAGGGCCATGAAGAAGAAGTCCACTCACTGGCCAGTCCTTCTCAGTCTCCTGTTCTGGTGTGCCCTCCTCATCCCCACTTCTAAACGTCAAAGTGGCGCAGGGAATAGCTCTTCACCCGCTCCTCCTGGCTGTACTTTCTCTCTAAGTGATCCGCCGCAGACTCATGACTTTAAACACTGTGTCCTCTTGTCTCCATGATTCCTTTCTCCTGCCTTTCTGGATGACAAGTAGCCTTCTGTAATTTTGGCATGTACAAATAGGAGCTCTTCACAAAACTCCCAACTGTCTTTCTTACCTCCATTCTCCAAACTTACCTCAACCACGTTCCTTACTGCCTGTGACTGCACATAGTAACTCCATGATGAGGTCGTGCTAGAATGCCTTGCCATAGTAATCATTAATTTTTAAAGTTTGATCACTGAAGGCCTTTAATCCACTGGTAAGTGCTGTGCCTTCTATCTGCAACATGCCATGTGAATGCATGCACTAGTCTCCAAATTCATGGTTGCAGCTTAGGCCAAGGCACTGTGTTTTCTCAGTTGGAACGCTACAGGAGACTTGCAACTATTATCTCTGCTCTCCCTCATGCCCTGCCCACTTGTAACATTTCCCACACAGAGCAGTCACAGATAAATTATTGAATGTAAATTAGATCATGTCGCTCCCTTGAGCCAGTCCCCTCTCTGGCTGCCTGGAACACCCTGATGAAGAACCAAACCCTTCATTGTGGCTTCCCCATCCACTGCACCTTCCTCCAGTTCCTTCCTTTCATCTCCTCTCATACTGGGCCCCAGCCACAGTGGTAACTTTTCTGTCTCCATCCCTATACCCCGGAACTTTTCCTTTCTCGCACAGGGCTGTTAGAATTGCAGTTCTCTCTGGGAGGCAGGTTCACCTCTTGGGTCTGTAGGTCTGGCAGCTTATCGTTGTCCTCACACAGGTCTTCCCTGGGCTGCGGTAGCTCCTCCTTTGCCCCTTCTCTGGGATTCTAGGTAGATATATACTAGATTATTTTCCTTATTCCCCTGAGAGCTTTATAACCATTTGTAATAGGTTTTATATTTTCTGAAGAGTCTATCATGTACCTGCCCATTGTGAAATAAGCTCTCTGGGTGCAGGGGTTCTCTTTCTGGCTAGCAGAATGCATGGCATATGTGAGGCCCCAATACTTCTGAAATCATTCATCTGAATAAGGTCCCATAAGCGAGGGACCTCTCCCTCACCTCACTGATCTGCCGTAGGGCTCCTACCTCCCTGTCCCGTCACAATGCTGAAATGCTGAGGCCCAACTCATCTGCCTGCTTCATGCAAGCTGCCTGGAGCCCCAGGACATGGTTCCTAATAGTGGTGGGAGTGGTCACCTTGGTCAGGCACAGGCTGTGCAGCAGGCTTTTCCTGGGCCTCTTCCCTTTGACTTTGTTGGCACTAGCCCTGCCTGGGGGGAGAGAGCTGGACTTTGCAATCCAGCAAGGTACAGGTCTGTGCCGCTTCTTCTCTTCTCTCTTGGAATGCTTTCTGGGCAGTGAGGGAAAGTTCTCACTGCCTCCTCAGGCTCCTGATTATTTTTGCTCAGGTCCAGCCAACATGGCCACCATAAAAAACAGATTTTTCTACCCCTAAATAAGGTGAATAGGGGTGGGGAGAGAATATATACTGGGCAGGTGACGTTCCACGGTCACCGCAGTCCAATCATACAGCATTTGCAGGTTTCTGTTTTCTGTAGGGGCAGCCTCAGCTCCAGCGCAGTGATGATGTCCTAAGGTAAGGCAGTATATTTGATCATATTTTTTAATACCTGACCCCACTGGCTCATTTCTGGCATGGAAGGAGAGATGGGGGAAGGGTTGTTATGACTCTTGAAATTGGTTCCACCTGACTCTCTTATTTTGTTTCGCCAGCCCTGTCTTAGGTTTACCTACCTGGGTGCATGTATGCATATGCACTTACAAGCATACTGATGTTTACATTGTACGTTGTCTGAAGTTCTGATTGTAGCATTTCCCTGCTTGAGCATGCTGAGTGGTGCTCACGACCTTGGGTCCATAGTCCAAACCCTTCTGGAGCCTCCCTTTCTGAAGGCTCCCTTTCTGGAGGCTTTAGGACTCTGTCACACTACCGTGATGGTCATTAGCTGGCCTGCCCACTCAGCACTTAGCCCTGTATGGCTTCACTGCTCCCACGATGCACACTGCTGGTTCACCTCTTCTCTCCCTGCCCCATACCTGTAGCACATCAACACTCACTGTTCACTTATCACATTGCCAGTGTTTAGCCCCCAGTGGCATAAGTATTAGCTGGTGAAGTGGGACTAGAGTCTAGAGAGAGATTTCAGGTTTTGTTTCTGTGTTTCTTTGACCATGGATGTGCATTTCTTGGCTCAGGTTGAGAATCTCATCACCTTGAAGGCAGAGCCAAGAGTAAACATGTACCTGGCTCTGGACCAGGCCCTACCCATAGCTATTGCTTTGGCTTTTCTCACCTTACCATTGAGGATGGCAATATTGATGGACGCACTTCATTCCTTCACTAGCAGGCACCATAGACACGGGCTTGGGGGACGGGCAAGGAGTTGGGGCTGTACAGAAACCCAGGTCCATCGTTCTCCCATAATCTGGGAGACTTTCTAGACTTTCCAAGCTTTCCAGATCAGGTTGTCTATGCCCAAGTACAAGCTCAAAAGCAGCCTATATCTTCCTGTCTCCTAGGCTCCCTTATCCCTTATCTGTAGGAACTGGCACCAACCTGTATAAATATTTGTGTCATGGCATTATGAGTGAACACATGTCTTTTAGTCTCTTTCACAAGTGTTGCAGAAGAGGAAAAAGACTGGAAAAGGGAGAGGGATCTCAAAAGATGGATCAGCTTGAGGGCACTTGGGAGCCCCAAAATCAGAATGTCTGCTTTTTTGGCAATGGTGACCTTAGAGTCTTCTCTCTCTCTCTCTCTCTCTCTCTCTCTCTCTCTCTCTGTCTGTGTCTGTGTCTCTCTGTCTTTCTGTCTCTCTGTCTCTCTCTCTGTCTCTGTCTGTCTGTGTCTGTCTCTGTGTCTGTCTGTCTCTGTCTCTCTGTCTGTCTGTCTGTCTCTCTCTGTGTCTCTCTGTGTCTCTGTCTCTCTCTCTCTCTCTCTTTCTCTCTCTCAGCAGAGGACTGAGGAGAACCCCTGGATGTAAGAAAACTACTATTCTCCACTTTGTTTAGGCCAGGCTAGTGCATCTTCAAGCTCACCACACTCCCACCTCTCCCCTGCCCACCTCCTTTAGGTACTTCTTAAATTTAATCATGGAAAGATTTAATTATTAGCATAGGGGCGTAAAATACATCCTCCTTCGTTGAACCCAAGGTCTTTGGGGCCACAGTGGAGTCCTATCACCGCATAAACATACGAGGACACTAGGAGACACTGAGTTCTTACCCACTTCTTTGCCCCCTCCACCCGGCCCCCAGTTTTGCTCCAGGCCCCTCTCACAGCCCGAGGCCCGCAGCCCCGCTGCAGCCACAGGGGGAACCAAAGAGACAGAAGCCTTCCCAGCTGCCCGGACCACAGACGCCAACACCCCCCCTCCCGCCCCCCACCACACGCCGCCCTCCCGCCCGCGCCCGGCACGCTAGCCCACGACAGACAGGCAGCAGCAACAGCAGCAGGCTGCAGTCTGGGGCGACTCGCGCTTCTGCGCTCCTGGCAGCGCTCGCCATCCGGCTGAGTTGGACTTGGCCAGTTCGGCTAGCTGCGCACCACCCCCGCCCCAGCTCCCACTTGCGCCGCCCCCGGCCGGGCCCCGGTTTCTGCGTCCTCCGGCCCTCCGGCCCTCCCTGGCCTCTTCTCTCCCTCAGTGTTCAGGAAGGGAGGTCGCGGCAGCGGCCCGGCAGCAGCGGTGACCGTGGCGACAGCGGCGACAGTGGCAGCGGCGGTGGCGGCAGCGGCTGCGGCGGCAGCCGAGGCTGCGGCGGCGACGGTGGCAGAGGCAGTGGCGGAGGCCTCCGTGGCGGAGGCGGAAGCAGAGGTGGAGGCTGAGGTGGAGGCCGAGGCCTCAGCGCAAGATGCAGCGGCCAAGGCCATCCTGGGGGAGGCGGCGGTCGCCCTGGCTGGGGAGGGGGCGGAGGCCAGCGCGGCTGTCGCCGCTGCTGCGGCCAAGGCTGCGGTGTCCCCCTTGGGGGAGGCGGATGCGGATGAGGAGGTAGCAGTGGCAGCCGCCGCCGCGGCAGCTACTGCAGCAGGGGAGGTGGATGCGGAGGTGGATGCGGAGGTGGGCGGGGGCTCGGAGGGGAACCCAGACTTTCCCATGGCCTCGCTGTACGTGGGCGACCTGCACCCTGAGGTGACGGAGGCAATGCTATATGAGAAGTTCAGCCCAGCAGGGCCCATCCTCTCCATCCGCATTTGCAGGGACAAGATCACCCGCCGCTCCTTGGGCTACGCTTATGTCAACTACCAGCAACCGGTGGACGCCAAGCGGGCCCTGGAGACCCTGAACTTTGATGTCATAAAAGGGAGGCCAGTGCGCATCATGTGGTCCCAGAGGGACCCCTCGCTCCGCAAGAGTGGGGTGGGCAACGTCTTCATCAAGAACCTGGGCAAGACTATAGACAACAAGGCTCTGTACAACATCTTCTCGGCGTTCGGCAACATCTTGTCCTGCAAAGTGGCCTGTGACGAAAAGGGGCCCAAGGGCTATGGGTTTGTGCATTTCCAGAAGCAGGAGTCCGCTGAGCGGGCCATAGATGCGATGAATGGCATGTTCCTGAACTACCGCAAAATTTTCGTCGGGAGATTCAAGTCCCATAAAGAAAGGGAGGCCGAAAGGGGAGCCTGGGCCAGGCAATCCACCAGTGCTGACTGCAAGGATTTTGAGGAAGACACTGATGAGGAGGCCACCTTGCGATGAGGACATGCCTGGAGCAAGCCAGCAGAGCCAAATCTGGGCTCCTATCCGGTTTACAACTTCCCCCACCCCAACCTACCAGCAGTGTATTGTATTGGGAGTGCAGGTCTCTCTCTTTCCCTTTCTCCCCCTCCTTTCCTCTCCCTCTCTCTCCCTCCCCCTCCCTCTCTCCCTCTCCTTCCCCCTCTCCCACTCCTTCTCCCTCCCCCTCTCCCTCTCCTACTGTACCCCCCCTTGTCCCTCCCCTCTCCCTCTGTTCTGCCTTCTCTCCTTCTCCCCTTACCCTCCCACACTTCCCTTCTCCCCCTCTCTGCTTATCTCCCACCCCTCTTTCTTTTCTCCTCTCCCTCCTTCCTACCCTGTTCCCCCCCCCCCACCCCTCGCTCTGTCCCTCTCCCTTCCTTTCTCCTCATTTCCCTTTTCCTCCTTTTCTCCTCTTCCTCTCTAGCTCTTCCTCTTCCCTCCACCCCTACCAAGGGTGTTGTGAGTAATCCTCCTAATCTGTGCCATTGGATAGGTTAAAGGCTGCCTCTTCTCCCTGTGGCTTGGTTCTTAAAAGCATTTTCTTTCTTCTTTTTGTTCACTGCACAGGTGATTCAATCTCATGGTAGAAATATCAGAAGGGAGAAGGAAATCCGATGACAGAAAATCAAGAGAGTCATTGCTCCTCACGATCTTACAACCCAGAAAGAACCACTTTTACCTTTTTGGTGTGCTGTTTTTCCAGGCTCTCTTCTCTCCCTCTCACTCCCACTCCACCTCCCCTGTGTCATACTGTTGTAGAATGGTTCATGTATGTGGTGTTTCTTGACCTGATTTTTTTTCAGCAACCAAAACCAAACTAAAGTCAGCCCACTGAACTCCTTTCCACGATATTCAACAGGCTTATGAAACATCATCTTCGGTGCCTGCTGAGTGCTCCTGTGTATCCAAGGATCTTAATGTTCCTGTAATCATTCCCGCATTGTTGGACATTCAGGTGGTGCCTAGTTTATTCCCTGTGTTTAAAACCAACACTGTGCTCTGATGAGTGAATCCTTGCCTGTCAAGCCAAATCTCTGCTAGCATTCTGGATGGTCTCCTTACCTGTGGACTTGCAGAACCCACAGAGGGACATTTCAAAGACTTTTCCTGTGTGTTGCCAAAAGGCCCGCTTCATAAGCATTGTTGCAGTTTGCACTCATGCCACCCAGCACAGCTAGTAAAAAGAGTATGGCCACTTCCCCTACATTGTCTCCTGGTTGCAGTAATTGGGGTGTGTGTGTGTGTGTGTGTGTGTGTGTGTGTGCGCGTGCGGGTGTGTGTGTTTGCCCAGCTTAATTGACTGCAAATTGGTGGTCACTACCATTGCTTGTTTTACTGGAATTGAGCACTACTGATCACTCCTTTCTCCACTGCCCACTTCCTGTCCTTTTCCTGATTGTCAAAAACCTAAGTCACCATCATTGTAGGAAAATGACAAAAAATTCACAAGGCAGACAGGTTAACAGAAGAAAATTGAAATAATCAGTTTTCAATCCTAATGGACACCCACCATTTCCCAAAATATGTTGGTCTTTACCTCCTCAGTATGTTTCATGTGACATGTATGTGAATGTAATGTATATACTGTTGCAATATCTGCTTTTTCATACCCCAAATATATATATATATATGTATATATATACATATTACAGACCTAGATGTGTAGATATTCTTGAAGTTTGTTTTATGTCATTAAATATTCTTTTAAAATAGTTTCCATGGCTGTTTAGTTTAGCAAGGTATGAATGGGCCAAAGATAGGAAATATATATATAAATATACATATAAGTATATAAATATATTTATTTATATTTATATATGTATGTATAAATTTATTTGTTTTGAATCACATGTATTCATACTCATATATAAATAATGTATAAATGTACATTGATATTCATTTTTAGATGTAGAAATGGGACTATTTACTTTTAACTATATGTTTTTGGATACCAAACCAAAGTTTTCAAAAATATGATTTTGCTCAAATGTTACTTACAGTCAAGTTTGTTTTCTGAACATTGTTCAAGTACTTTGGAAATATCAAAAAGTATTCATGGGAAAAGTTTTTTCTTTCTTTGTTTTTTGGTTTCTCTCTGAGCAGCTTTTATTGATCATTTTCCTATTTAAGAATACAAATGTGTGAGGACTGGAATATGTGGACAATTTTCTGAATTTTGTACTACAATTACTTCTGCAATCCTTTATTCTTGTTTTAGGATGTTAGATTTCTAAAAGATTTCATGGAAAATTTATATCTGTACAAATACATTATCAAAATGGATTTTTAAAGGATTCTAGTAAGGAAAGGAACCAAAAATTCCTCATCATTATAGAAGATATAAAAAGCTTTGAAAAAAATATATAACTTCCAAGTATATATTTACAGTGATTACATATATATATATATATATATATATATATATATATATACATTCCAAAAAGCTAACATAGGATATGTTTCATTGTGGGATATTTTTACCATATCATTTTTTTATCTTTCCAAATTATTAATTTTGGTTCTGCAATTTTATTTTATGTGATATTCTATTTTATAATGAACTATAATTTCTAAGACATAGTTTCTTGATATATTTTTAAATGGTTTTTGTGTTACTCGTGTAAAGTTAATATTTTAAATGCATTCAGGTGGCTGTTTCCTAATATCTAGGCATATTTAATGCCTTGTGTATCTTGTAATTTGTTGACAAATATTTTTGTCCTTAAACTTTATTTCCATCAACAGCGTAAGAGAGCTCATATTTCTTTGCTTCTTTAGTTTTTTTGCACTATGAAAAAGTGGTAAGCTTATGGGTTTTTCTTTATTTTATCTTACAAGTCCACTGTTTAAAGGCATTAATATCACACACAAAAAAGAAACTATTTCTGTGTGGGCTTGCCTACTTATAAATTTTAAAACAAATATAGAAATGTACTAAATTTATTCTACATATTAATGATATATTCTGTCAGATGTCCTTTACAATATATTGCGAATACACTTAATATATCTTTTACTGTTCAATATTCTTCCATAACTCACTACCATTATACAGACAGGTCAGATTTTTTTTAAGTTTTCTGTTTAACTTTGGACATCAGTTTCTAAATTTTCCCCACTAAATCTAAGACTGTGCTAAATAAATTTCCAGTAGCACTCTTCCAGTATTTCTTAATTTAAATACCTCGAGCTGAAATTGCAAAATAGGTGCCTTTTGAGTTCTTTACTCTGTTGAATATCCTGAATGTACCAATTTCTACTTCTACCATCACATTACAGTGCTACAGTAAGCAAAAACTCTGAAACATCACCCAGGATTTGGAGACAAATTTATTTTATATTTACAGGCACTGATTAGAATCACACCTAAAATACCATGCCTTGAACTCTAGTGGTCTAGGGCTTATATGGGATAAGCAAGCAGAGGCAGAACGGCTTGTCAACTGAGGATTGGTTCTTACAATATGCATCATGGTGAACAGCCATTTCTAAGAAACAAGAGTAACAGTAACTGTAACTGGAATTATTACCTGTTCTATTAACAAACTGAAGTATACTGTCTTGGGGTGGCATTTCCCGCCTGTTTTAGTTTCCCAGGCAAATCCTTGCTGGGCATGTTACATGTGATCTTCTAAGACAAGGCCCAACTAGAAACAGTTCTGTAACATCTACTCTGGCAAGTGAGTGAAGGAGTTAATCTGATCTAGTGGAGTGTCCAGTGTGCTTGTCAAATCTTTATTATCTGTAAAGGCCTTACTGGTTGTTTTCTATTCTCTTGGGACAATCATTGATAGTGCTAAGGTAAAGCAAGGACTGGGGTAAGCAGCCTGAAAATATACAAAATCAAAGGGAATATTGCATTGAGGTATAGAGCAATCTTGTGAACAGTGTCCTCAGGCTTCAGTCATGTGTGAACAGGTCAGCATCTGGAGTGACCAGAACAGGACTTTTAGTGTGTTGCCTCTTCAGAGTGAGCTGTCTGGTCCACATAAATTTTCCAGAGGATCTAAGGCTGAATTTCTGAAAATAGAGAGGTAGTTAATATGTACCTGGGTTATATGTGAATGCAGGAGTGCCTACAGGCATAGCTAATGAAAGGATTTTGCTCTAGATACAATATTATGGCAGTGGGAGGCGGGACCAAGGAATGTTTACCTTGAGGTCACTTTCCCCTCCCCTATGACAACTTATCTGTGGTGCAAAAAGAGTCCCAATCAGCTACTCGAGCATCAGCAATGCCACCTTTAAGCACCACCCCAGTCGGAAACTATATGTATGCCTCCTACACCATGTTTCCAGCAGAGAAAGTCAGGCCCCGGTGGGTCATGGAGTTTTCTCCATGTTCTTAGAATAAAGGCCATTTTTACCTTATATTTTC